ACAGTCTTAATTATGCAGAATTAAGCTGTTTGGTAACTACTAAAAACCACAGGTGTTGCATGACCCCCCCCCCCCCCCCCCCCCAAAATTTAATTAATTAAGAATTGTGTTTTTCCACTCATTTTAAATAAGAAAGGAGCAAAAGTGCTGACCTGTTTTTCTATTGGCTTACTGTTGTCTATCTATTGTCCCACTTCCTAAAGTAGACTGTAAAAAATATTGTCAATGGTATAAATGAAACAAAACACTTTGTATTTTATAAGAAAAAAATGTGAAAATTGACACAGGATATTACCTAAGCTCTTAAACAAGTCTTACAATTTGTATATTTTAGACATTTTAATACGAGTACTTCATTTGCCCTTTTGCTTGTTATTCAATTATTTACAAAATGTGTGCAATTCGAGTGCAATCACGGAAACAACAGTAAAATAGTGCTTGAGCAATTTCATGTTTTATATAATTGTATAAAATGTTAAATCAATTATTCATACTTGCTATAATTAGTTATAATTAGGCCCAGGTTTGCCTTAACAGAAGGCATGGCATGCTACAATTAAAGATTTATCAAACAAAATGAGGAACTGTCCCAGTGGACTACTTGCAGGCAATTAAAACTCAAAAACACGGTGTGTAGTCTGACATCAGGCAGCGGTGGCAAGAGGCATTTGAATAAAACATTCATTGTACATGTCTTTTAAGTCATATTTATAAATTTGCAGCTGAGTTTGCATCCACTTGACAGCTTGAGTCTCGCCAGAAAGTGCAGTACGGAAGATATTTTTATTTTATTTATGCATGCATATTTTAACACTTTTTTTACGCTGTTTTCATTAGGTTGTACAAACATGTTTACTTGTACAGTCCATTCACTGCTTGGATCAGCAGTTTAAATAGCACATCAAAAATTGCTCAAACCCAAATTGCAAACCCAGTACGATTTCATTCATTCATTCATTCATTCACTCATTCATTCATTCATTCATTCATTCATTCATTCATTCATTCATTCATTCATTCATTCACTCAGTCATTCATTCATTCATTCAATCGTTCATTCATTCATTCATTTTCTTTTTGGCCACTCCCTTTATTAATCAGGGGTCACCACAGCGGAATGAACCACCAACTAATCCAGCATATGTTTTACACAGCAGATGCCCTTCCAGCTGCAACCAATAACTGGGAAACACCCACACACTCTCAATCACACACGTACACTATGGACAATTTATCTTAACCAATTCACCTATGGCGCATGTCTTTGAACTTGTGGGGGAAACCAGAGCACCCGAGGGAAACCCGTACCAACACGGGGAGAACATGCAAACTACACATAGAAATTCCAACTGACCCAGCCGGGGCTCCCACTGTGCCACTGCGCCACCCCAGTACAATTTCATAACTTGTAATAGTTGTTTTTTGCTCTGTAAAAAATGCTGGGTTCCACACGACCGATTTGTGTTTAGACAACATGAAGGAATTTAGTTGACTTATAGTCTTTTACAAATTTAAACGGATTGAACATAAAACAGGGCAACACGGTGGCGCATTGGGTAGTGCTGTCGCCTCACAGCAAGAAGGTCGCTGGTTCGAGCCTCGGCTGGGCCAGTAAGCGTTTCTGTGTAAAGTTTGCAAAGTTCTCCCCGAGTTCGCTTGGGTTTCCTCCGGGTGCTCCAAAGTCCAAAGACATGTGGTACAGGTGAATTGGGTAGGCTAAATTGTCCGTAGTGTATGAGTGTGAATGAGTGTGTGTGGATGTTTGCCAGAGATGGGTTGCAGCTGAAAGAGCATCTGCTGTGTAAAACATATGCTGGATAAGTTGGCGGTTCATTCCGCTGTGGCGACCCCATTAAAGGCACTAAGCCGAAAAGAAAATGAATGAATAAACAAAACAATTAAGTTGTCCTAAAAATCCGTCATGAATTGTGTTGTTGCAGCTCATTTTACATATAGCTCATTTTGCTCTATAACATCACATTTGACTCTCCCACCCAAATATTATATTATACACACACACACACACACATATATATATATGTATGTATGTATGTATGTATGTATGTATGTATGTATGTATGTATATATATATATATATATATATATATATATATATATATATATATATATATATATTTTTTTTTTTGCTGCTTGTTCAAATTACTTGTTTAAAATGAGCAGAAAGAACACAATTCTTAAGAATTTTAGGGGACAATTATAAATTGTTTTATGTTCAATCCACTTATTTTTTTTCAAAATCAATTAACTTAATTGAGTCGTGTTGGGACAACATGAAACCAACTGTTTACTGGCTTGTTGGTTGATTGGTGTGATCATTGTTTGCGGGTGTGATGTGTAGAGCTCAACTATTTCTTGAGTTCTGTTTTCTTGTTTAACCTGATGAAGACCATAGATCCAAACGTTGTTACAATAAGAAAAAAAAATTTAGGGCTAAACTGAAAGAATGAAAACAACGCTATCTCACAGCAATTCACATCTTTTTAATTTAGTGGCTAATTTGTATGAATTCATACAATCTCATTCGCACAATTTAGTACGATTTGCTTATCCCTATATGACGGTTGGGTTTAGGGGTGGGGTTTGGTGCCACGCCTCCATTTTAAATTCCTACAACTTAATCTTTTTATGTTCAACCCACTTAAATTTGTCAAAACTAATTAAGTTAATTCATTTGTGTTTGGACAACATGAAAGAATTGTGTAAAACCAATGCTATCTCACAGCAATTCGTAACTTTTTGATTTAGTGGCTAATTTGTATGAGTTCGTACAATCACATTCGTACAGTTTAATACTGTTTGCTCATCCCCCGAAGATGGTTGGGATTAGAGGTGGGGTTTGGTGACATGCCTTCTTTTTAAAATCATACAGATTCATACGACTAAACTAGTACGAATTCGTATGAATTAGCCACTAAACTAACAGAACGTAAAATACTTACGTGTTCTCGTGATATCAGGCTGGTGAAACCCAGCATTTTTTACATTGAGTGTGGTCTTTTGCTGGAGTTCATCTGCATGGTTCAACATTCAGAGATGCTCTTATTTTCACTCACAGAAATACCAACACAATCTCACGGCAATTCGTAACTTTTTTCATTTAGTGGCTAATTCGTATGAATTTGTACGATCTAATTCGTACAATTTAGTACGATTTGCTTATCCCCCAATGACGGTTGGGGTTAGGGGTGGGGTTAGGTGCCACGCCTCCTTTTTAAAATCGTACCATTTCGTACGACTGAACTCGTACGAATTCGTACGAATTAGCCACTAAACTGGCAAAACGTAAAATACTTACGTTTTCTCGTGAGATCAGGCTGGAAATACTGCTCATTGATTATTTAGTCTTTTTCTGGTTAATTATTTGCAAACCTTAGAAATAATTGTGCATTACAATTCCAGTAGATCTGCAATTTCATCATTCAGATTTTATCAATCCGCACCACTTAAACCACATTTTCCCCCATTCTGATGCTTGTATTAAACTTCAGCTGGTCATCTTTACCATGTATACATGCCTAAATGCATTGAGTTTGATTCCATGTGATTGGCTGTTTAGATACTTAAACAATCTGAGCGTTGTGGATGTGACATTTGCAGTAAAAACTCTAAACAGAAATTCACATTGGTGAATTGAATAAACTAAATTCCCAGTGCTGGGTTGCGGCTGGAAGGGCATCCGCTGTGTAAAACATATGCTGGATAAGCTGGTGGTTTATTCCGCTGTTGTGACCCCTAGAAGAATAAACGGAATATGTCAAAGGAAAATTAATGAATGTTATTTTCCAAAACAACTTACAACTGAGTTATGGGATTAGAAAAACATTAATCTGTAAACATTTCTTTTATATTTTAATTGAGGAAAAGAAACAGGCTATGACCAAAAAAGTTTAGAGTATACAACATTGTAGAAAATCTGTGTACTACTGAAATAATTCTGATTAAAAGGATAAGAGCTGGCTCCCTATTGAACAAAAATGATTGATCTTATTTTATTTAACATTGTTGCATTAATGAGGAAAACTGAATTTTTTCATGACGAGGTTGACATTTGCATGGAACTGCTCATTTGCATTAATGAGCATTTAAACCTGTGCACCTAATAAAGTGGCCGGTGATTATATTGAAATTTTATTGTTTGAAGTAGATAAAGCTAAAAGATTATAACTAACAGTCACTCAGTCAATAAACTAACTCTGATACTAGCACAAAAAGCATGAATTTAGGTTGTCATTTTGTATAGAGACTGTATCCAATCTTTCTTTGCTTTAGAAGAACATTCATGTTTTTGTCTGCATGACCTGATTTTTCTGCATGAATTCTCTGTTATAGATAAGATTGCGAATAATGTTCTGTATGAGAATGTCAAAGCAATCAGCTTTGTTTATTTTGCCACCCTGTAAATTTACACAATTAATGTCTCTTCTAGTATAGTCTAGTTTTTGTCTCAAGTCACACTTTATGTTGAATAATGGATTTTATCCCTCATGGGCTCACGATTCTCTGCTCTGTTCTAATGGGGTGCTACACTAAAGGACATATTTAAATGTCTCGAGTGGGAGTGTTGCAGGAAGCCTTCAACGCTTGTATTTGCATGAGCGAGCAGAGAACTTTTTGGACAGGAACAGCACAGCGTTTGGCATGCAACCCTGAAACAGTTTTTATTCGGAAGCCATGTGGGAGGATCCTATTTGAATGCATCTTGTGTAATGTTTGATCTGACAGGCAACATGCTGATGTGCATGGATATGCAGTCAATTAGCATTGGCAAGACTGACTTGCAGGTGCCTGATGAAGATAGATCAGCTAGACGTAACTCTTTTCAACTACAAATAAGTTCTGTGATTTTTTTAAAAGATGGTTAAATTACCTTCTCAAAACTTCAGTCGCCTACAGCTAAACGTACAGCGATCTGCACACATTTCAAGCCCAGACAAAATGCAGAGGAGACATCCATCAGTTTCAAAAGAGTCTCTTACAATCAGATCTCCATGCCTGCTGGCAGCTATATGTTGGAGAGCAGCAGTAAGCGGGTTTATTATGAAGACCTGCCAGTTCTGTGGGTGCTGGAACTGGAGCTTCCCCGAAATTGCAGAATCCAGCCTTGGACAACCTGCTAGAAGAAGCTAATGCATTTCTGCACTTGATACCCGCATAATTCCCTAGAGTGCTATGGCATAATCTATGTATGATAATGATGCAATGTCAAACATTTTCTTATTTGCCAGAAGTGGGCGAGCATGTGAAACTGCATTTTCATGCCTCCAAGGAAATAACCTCATGACCAAAGTGACAACGTAAAGAGATGACAGACGTGGTGGCATGAATAGCCTGTAAAGATTTGATGTGTGCGTGTGGCTATGTGTTAATTACATGCCATTGCGATTCAATGTTTCTTTTCTAAATATGCGAGATGTCACTTTCCGATCCTGCTCCCCCCAATCAGCACTAAATCATCAGTCTATCGCGGATAGGTTGGTTGTTCTGCTGTGAGCGCAGCGCGGAATGTGTCTGGGATGCAACCAGTAGTTTAGACTGACTGACTGACTGCTGTGAAGAAGTAGTTGCGCATCACTGACGGATTCCAGCGCCGCGGAAACCGCCGAAAGTCACGTCTTTCTTCTCACTGAGCTAAATGGCTCGGATTTACGACAGATACGACTTATGCAGATGAGTGATTCGATTCTATAAGCGTTTGGGAAATGCAAACGATTGTCCGGCTATAAATGTAAGTACGCAGTGTGTCATGTGTGAGGCGATGGACATTCATTAATGTGAATGAAGTGTTTGAAAAAGTCGGGAGTGCACGTTTTATGTTTTTATTTTCGCTTACTCTTAATCATGCTTGTTTTTACCATTTGATTTGGAAAAATGATTCATTTTGTTGAATACAGCTTCTTTTATATGAAACAGTTTGTGTTGATATGCGTTTATGATTAGTTTCACTATATAGTATGCTGGGTTTGCTTTTATAATGAAGTTCAGGTGTGACAGGTCTTTAAACTTAACCCTTAAGGTTTTTAACCATTCATGGGGGGAAATTATTCAATTAGTTTAAAACTGCTTCTTTTATACTAAACAGTTTGTGTTAATGTGGGTTTTATGAATATTTTCACTGATATATGCTGGGTTTGCTTTTATAACGAAGTTCAGGTGTGACAGGTCGTCAAATTTAACTCGTTCATAGGTCCTTGTTCATGTTTTTTAGTGTAAATGCTGGCATAAAATTTAATCATTAGAGTGTGTTCTTAGTATTTTTCAGTGATGGGTTGCAGCTGGAAGGGCATCTGCTGCTTAAAACGTATGCTGGATAAGTTGGCGGTTCATTCCGCTGTGGCAACCCCAGATTAATAAAGGGACTAAGCTGAAAATTAATGAATGTTCCTAGTAATCGGTTCATTTTGCTGTGTATCGATCTCTGAAGTTGTGATTAAGTCGAAAGAAAATGAATGAATGAATGAATGATTTAATTAATTAATGTTCTCGGTATTGTTTAAACGGCTATTTTGAACCTAATGATTCTGTTTTGATTTTGTAGTGCACATATGTGCAATCTGTGTGCGTAGTATTCATTTAGAATATACATTAATATGGTTTAATATGAGAATGTATGTATAATGTTAATATAATAAAATACTAATAATTAATATAATATATAATACGTTACTTATAAGCCGTAATACTTTTAATTATTAATATTCTACATTTCAAAGGGGTTAAAGTGGCTAACTTATAACTATCACAAATTAATCAATGCAAGACCATTACAGCTTTACAGTAAATAAGATAATTGTGTTTCTGTAAGCAGGGATAACATGGCCAGCAATTATTTTCAGTTTTTGCATTTGTTTTTTCCTGCAGGATTCAGCTATACAATATATTTCAGTGACCAGCTCAGATTTTCAGATGAATGACAGTTCCAAAACTAAAACTCTGGGATGTTTCTGTAGAGGCACTAAGTTGAAAATAACTTTTGACAGATGTGGTCTAAAGATATTCTGACTCAGTTCTGGCAAAGATTGCATGGAATATGTAGGCACATTATATGCATCTGTTTTGTCTGTTGCTTACATTTAGATCCACTTACAATGGATTTGAAGTGAACTGAGCATCATTATCATCCTCTCAGCTTCATATTTCTCCCTGGTGTCACAGAGCACCACGCTTCATTTCATTATAAGATTGTTTTTTGTAATGGCACTCATAGATTGTAAAGTCGATATAGTGTCTGAATAGGTCAAACAAGACAAGGTTATAGTAAAGCCCTTGAACTGGATTAATTGACATCCTTAAGTGACACAATGACTTAATGGTTGCAATGACTGTATCCATTACTATAGTGTGGCCTAAAAAACATACAAATTTCCATCTCGTGATTAGCTGAAGGCTTTAGGCTAAGCTCTCTGCTGATTTACAAATCAGCATTTTTCAGATGCTCTGTTAGCTGGTAAATGATCAGTTGTGTCAAAGCTGTTTATTCTGGGTATCATGAGATGCCCAGATAATATTTATCAAAAGCAAGGCAATCTGATTTATCCTGCACAAACTCTCTCTTCCACATTCATATTTTATTATTTACAATATTTCAGAGGAAAAAATTAGATGTTTTTCTTGTTGCATCATACAAATAAATATAATTATTTTTCATTTAATTATAAGGCGTAAAATCTTTCACATTACGCTCCTGTTTTGCTTTCATGATTAATTTAGAAGGTATCGGTGGAGATATTTTTAAGTTTCTCAAAGAACTGTAATTGGACCCTGCTGTTCAAGATACAGAACTCAGTCATTCACTGACCTAGATTCTCTCTGAGATTTCTGCTGTTTGAAGTCAATATAGCAAGAAGGTGCACAATAAAGAAAAACAGCTGAGGCTCTTTGCTTTGTAGATGAACGTCACTTAGTAATGTCAGACCAGCCGTCATGCAGACCTCCTAATCATGCAGTTCAAAAGTTTGGGGTTAGAAAGAGGTTTCATTTTTGAAAGAAATAGTATCTTTTTTCACTAATAACACATTCAATTGATCAAAGTGACAGTGGAGATGTTACAAATGACTTATATGTCCAATAAATGCATTTCTTTGAAACATTTCATCAAAGAATCCTAAAAAAAGCATCACGGTTTCAACAAGAAAATCACATTTATATTTAATATTGTAATAAATATGTGTATATACACTCAAGTACACATGTACAAATACTGTTGTTGTCATTTAGAGCTTTTTGTTTGACAATCATTCAGAATAACAGGTTTGCATTTGCTGTGATCAGGTTTATGATCACCTTTCTGTTGTTTTATGCTACATTTTTATTTATTTATAGATATAAATTTGATAGAATAGAGAAGAGATAAAAGAATGTACACCTAAACCTACTTTCAACCCAATTATGGGTGTAATAGGACTAACCCAACTGCCTGGTTACTTTTTTAAATTAAAAAAGTTAAAGCTTTTAAAGCTAAATTAATAGGACCAAATTTAACCCAATGTTTGGGTCAGTCCATATTTTAACCAATTTAGGATTTAATTAATCTGGCATTTTTAATGTGTACAGAAAGCCAGAGCAAATTTAATATTAGCTTACTGTTGGTAAACAGAGAAGGTTGGTGTGCTCAAGAGAATTTAAAAACATTTACAATTTTGCAAGCCCCAAACATTTCAATGATAGCAAATATTACACACAAAAGTCAGGAGGGCAGTTTTGTGTATCTGTAGCACCGGAGACCCAATACCCATATCCACGAGTGCATTCACAGCCACAGGCTTTTTGGGTTTTACTGGGAAGGCTGCTAAATATGTCCAGCATACCCTTCCCGTAGGGTCTTCCTTATCAAGGTTCAGACCTCATTGAAGATGTCACCTGTCACTCTAAATGAATGACATCTCAGTCTTAAGACCAGGATCCTCTGAGCAGCCACTGACTCACTAACCACGAGGGTGGAAGTGAGGGAGAACAGCTTTTCATAATTGAGGAAAGTTTGAGAGTGGGATATGCAGTGGAAAACTACATATTTTAAGAACAAATAAGATCTTTTTTTCCAAAAGAGGTGTCAACTGTGCACTGAACAAAAATCAAAGGAAGACTTCACCTATAAATAATTCTGTCATTGTTTATTCACCTCCACCATGTTCTAAATCCGTATGCCGTTTTTTCTTTTGTGGAACATAAAAAGAAGATATTTTAAGAGTGCGTGATCGCCATTAAAAAGACATTACACTGTAAAAACTGTTGGGTTCTACACACATGATTTGTGTTGGGACAACATAAAAGACTTAAGTTAACCTGTTAGTTTTTAAATGGCATGATGATTTTTATTGGAATAGATTTTCCGTGTGCAGTTAATTAAAGGAAAGTTGTGCAGGCAATGGTCAAAAACAGGGGCAAACAGTAGCATAAAGATAATCCTATATCCGTGTTCCACATACAGGCAAATGGTAAGGTATGGGGTAAAGAATCAAAATGAAAAGCAGACAAGGATTAAAAACAAGGCAAGACAAACAGGAAAACAATTGGTAATGTTTGCTAGGTGCGTGATGAGTTATCAGCTATTTAAGTGTAATCAGTGGGAGACAGGAACTGGTGTGTGCGAGGTGCTGCTGGGAGTTGTAGTTCATTACTGTGACGTGCAATCTCCACCAATCTGCAACTGCCAGATCGCCGGCGATCACAACAAATGCATTAAATTACCCTAAAATGAGAATTGTGTCATCATACTGTATACTTATCTTTGTGACACAACAAAATTCTGATAATTTTACTTAAATCTGAGAGATTTTTGTCCTCTATTATAAGTCTGTTCACCTCAAACTCCGACACTTCTAAATGTTCCTAAAGAATTTAAAATACAGTAGTTTGAATCAAGCAAGTCATAATCCATTCATAATTGTCCTTCAGTCCCTTATTTATCAGGGGTCACCACAGTGGAATGAACCACCAACTACTCCGGCATATGTTTTACAAAGCAGATGTCCTTCCAGCTGCAACCCAGTACTGGGAAACAGTCATAAACCATTTTTTTTGTTTACAGGATTCATGTTTAGAGCTGTTGTAAAAATAGTTTGAGAAATCGATTTTTCAATTTCAAAATGCATAGCTATTTTGAAAGGTTTAGTGAATTACAACATATTTTACATATTGTGAGCTGTGTTTAATCTTGTGGCAATAAAACCAACTTACATGAAACGCATTATGTGATAGTTTGAGTGTAAAAACCAAGCTCAGAATCGATTCAAGAGAGAATAGAGATGCATTTTGAAAATCGCAGAATTGATTACTATAGGGTATATGCCGAAATATGCTAAAGGACTTTTAATTTGTCTGTAACCTGGGTTAAGCGCTTCCGGTATACTGTATGCCATTGTAAAAATGGTGCATGCAAGGTCTATTTTCTTTAAAAATCAACTCTTCTCCACTAGCTGAGGGATATCCGATATAAAGAGGGTCTCAGATTGTACAAGAAGCACTGCATTAAATTACATTTTCCCCGCCATAATCAATAGAGCTTCTGCGCTAGCCTGCCGATTCTGACAGGCATGTGCAAGTAAACGACTTTTTCTCTCATTTTACGCTTGAGCAACTAAATGAATGCCAATGTCTATTTAAATGATTGTATTGTAATTACATTACAACATTGATGCCGTAAAAAGGAACCGTATAAAATGAAAAAAAAAAAAAGTCACGTTAATCGTTCACCGGAGGCTTATCATTATGGGAAGAAACACTAGCTCCTCATATACCCTATTACGATTACTATTCATGCTTGGCTGTTAAAGCTGGATCATGCTTGCTTGACACACGAGAGCCAGTAAGACTCATTCTTGTGTGACACACTGCACATTTGAACTGCTGCAAGAACCAATGATGTATGTTCTTGCATGTACAGCAGATAAAGTTCTTATGCTTATACGCTCACTGAGCAGTTATAATGCATGTGAATGAACGCCAAAATGAAATCTATTTATCTTATAAAGCAATCATGTATCTTCAGAAGATTTGGATTAAACCTGTGGATTCATATGGATTTATTTTTTTCATCTCTATATGATTGTTTCAACTTTCATTGTAAAGATTTGATTAAAAATGTCTTTATTTGTGTTATAAAGATGAGTGAAATATTATAAGTTTAAATGACAGAATGTTCATTTTTGGAATGAATAAATCTTTCTGCAAAATGCACTGATTGCAACATGGCAGTATATATTAAAAAGCAAAGCAGCGGTACATATTCTTCTACCCACCTCCATCACAATCCATTATTATTGAGCTGATGAGCAGAAAAGAGACAGGAGTGTTAAAATAATAATGAATTACATGTTCAGATCTTAGAGATGAGTACTCTGTATGGAACATCCTGGATTTAATTTAAGTGACAGGCAGAATGGAGGAGTTACATCCCAGTGTGTTTTTGTTTGTGTTGGTCTCTGTGAAAGAAGTCCTCATGAAGATCTTTTTTTTTTTTAAGTTAGCAACATGACAGTTTTGTGTTTGTTTGGCCTCATCAAAATGACAACCATGTCAACATGATAAGAAACCTTGACTCTGTAGCTCCACCCCTGTGATCCAAATGTAAGCATTTTTTTCTGCACATTGTGTGTATGAACACTCGCTGCAGGGCAGACGTCTGTTGTCTGAAGCTCATCGTCACAGCTGCACACAGATTGCAATGGTGCTGGAAGACTAAGCAAAGAACCACAGACTATTTTTTGACATAAGGGAGATAAAAAGTAGCTGTGAAATAAGGCCAGATTAAAGCTACGGTATTTACAATCCCAAAAGGCTCCGAGCCAGATGGATAGAATTCAAGAATGAGGGGATTGAAAATAATTTTATAACCTAAATACTATTTATACTGTTACATCTTGTCATCTTTGCGTAGTTGCTGGTCACATAGCTAAAGTGGTTTTATGTAATTCCCAGGAATATGCACAGTGTTTATCGAGTTTTATATCACCATCAGTAAATCTGTTATGAGAGTGAACTGGATTCCACCGTAAAACATTTTTGAGGGATTATTTCACTCCATGCTCTGGGATTATGCAGCAGAGACGGTTACATTTATATGTACAGGTCCAAGGTTAAAGATTTCAAATGAGTTACACAAATACACTCTGACTCTAATGTGTCAAACAAACCTTTTATCCAAGATTTGTTTGAAATGTAGGCAAATTTGTGCAGATTTTATTAAATGTATCAACATTCATATGTTGATACTGTTTCCCAGTACTGGGTTGCGGCTGGAAGGCCTTCAGCTGCGTAAAACATATGCTGGAATAGTTGCCGGTTCATTCCTCTGTGTCGACTCCTGATTAATAAAGGGACTAAGCCGAAAAGAAAACTAAAAAATGAATGAATGAACATTCATGTGTTGATACTGTTTTCCAGTACTGGGTTGTGGCTGGAAGAACATCCACTGTGTAAAACATACGCTGGAACAGTTGGCGGTTCATTCTGCTGTAGAGACCCCTGGTTAATAAAGGGACTAAGCCAAAAAAAGAATGAATAAATTAATAAACATTCACATGTTGATACTGTTTCCCACTGCTGGGTTGTGGATGGAAGGCCATCCACTGCGTATAACATATGCTGGAATAGTTGGCGGTCCATTCCTCTGTGGCGACCCCTGATTAATAAAGAGACTAAGCCGAAAAGAAAATAAATGAATGAATGAATAAGCATTCATATTTTGAGACTATTTCCCAGTACTGGGTTGCGGCTGGAAGGCCATCAACTGCGTAAAACATATTCCGTAAAAAGTTGGTGGTTCATTCCGCTGTGGCGACCCCTGATTAATAAAGGGACTAAGCCGAAAAGAAAATGAATGAATGAATAAATAAACATTCATATATTGATACTGTTTCCCAGTATTGGGTTGCGAATGGAAGGTCATCCACTGCGTAAAACATATGCTGGAATAGTTGCCGGTTCATTCCGCTGTGGCAACACCTGATTAATAAAATGACTAAACCAAAAAGAAAAAGAATAAATAAATGAATAAACATTCATATGTTGATATTGTTTCCCAGTACTGGGTTGCAGCTGGATGACCATCTGCTGTGTACAACTTATGCCGGAATAATTGGCGGTTCATCCCACTGTGGCAACCCCTGATTAATAAATGGGCTAGGCCAAAAAAATGAATGAATAAATAAATATACAGTTATATGTTGATACTGTTTCCCAGTACTGGGTTGCGGCCAGAATAGTTGGTGGTTCATTACGCTGTGGCAACCCCTGATAATTAAGGGACTAAGCTGAAAGAAAATGAATGAATCTTGATACTTATTCGTTTTTTTACCCATAGTAATTGAAATATTTTATCCAGTGGTTGAGTCTATCCATATCTTAAACTGGCTTGAATCAACAGCATTTGTATAGCGTGAACCATCATATAGAACTTGTATATTTAAGTATAAGAGTTTTTCCATATATTCCCTTGATTAGCTGGTCAAAAATGTTCTCAAAAAGTACAGTGCAGTTTGAAGCCTTTATTTTTATCTCTTTAGTCAAAGCTTGAGTGAGAATATATTTTGTGACTAAGCAGTCCCCCGATACACTTACGAGAAGGACTGAAAAAACCTGCCCTAATTTTGCCTTCTAAAATGTCAAGCTCTTGTGCTAACTGCGAAATTTGTCAGTAGTGCTTAATCTCTGTACAAATCTGTTGAATCTCTGCATAATCTCTCCATTCTTTGTTTCTCATTTCCCAGTCAGACGCCTGACGCTCGAGCAGCCATGCATGTGTGTAGCTTCGTGGGCTTTTTGCTCCTCCTCCTTTTCATCAGCAGGTAAGAAACTCCTTGTTATGCACTCACTTTCGGTGTTCCTTCACTCATTATTGTCGTACGGCAAGCTGAACATAATTGCTTCCTATGCTGTTTAGTGCCTTTGTGTTTTCCTCAGTTGATTTTGAGTCTTAAAAAAAACCCTTCCGTAGTGACTTTGTAAAGTTACTACAAACTAGACGAAGCGGAAAACCCATGTTTGTCAAGAAGTTCTCTTTGGGTGATAAGCTTTCAGAGTGACGTCTTTGCAGAATTGACAAACCGGGTATAATTTAGGTTTTACTCTTTTGGCAGCAAATTAAAGACTATGTGTCTTAAGTATCCATTCACACCAGATTGTGTGGGTTTGTTGCTAAAGGAAGGATGGAATTATAGCTAATCCTTGTAGACTTGCCTGAATGAGACCGTCGGAGTCCATGTACAGGTTACTGATGGAAGCACCAGCCCTCACATCATTTCTCCTCTCTATTTTGCCCGTTTTGAGCTTATCTTTCCATGCAGCGGTACAGTAGCTGCAATGCTAACGCGATTACTGGTGACACTGTAGAGACAAGACACATTGATTTACCGGAACTGCCGCCGCTCAGCCATGTTGAATGGGAATTTCCATTTAATGTGATACGCATCTCATCACTTATGCTGATATTCCGGCCTGACCTTTGAAATTTGATGGGTAGATGTAAGACCTGGTCGGGACGACTCTGCTAAAGATCAAAGGGTGATGTAAAGGAAGTGTGCCAGCATCAATTCACCTCACCATCTGCTTTACCCCACCTCCTTCCTGTCCTCCTTTCCCCTCCAATCTCCCGGCTTCTTCCTGGCAAGAGACTTTAGTGGGTGTACATATAGTTTGGCCAGGAATTCAGCTTTTTTCATGTAACAACCTAAAGCACAATAACAAGAGCAATACCTCCTCTTTGGGTGCTTATCACATGAAGATAAGGATGTGTTATTGAAGGCTTAATCTCACAAAGGGACATGCAATTGTTTGTCCATCCACACAGGTCCATGCAGAGAGTGGGTTTTACTTGCTGTATTATTTAGCCCATTGGGATTTGTGACTTGTTGGAAATACTAGTGATTTTTAAATATATTTTGCTACTTTCTCGCCATGCAGTTCTGACTCTCTAATGTGTTGTAAAATGGTAATTTTTATTACAGATCAGTTTAGCGATCTTCATATTTACTGCCATAATATTTATGCTAAGGATGCACCAAAAGGAAAATTCTGGGCCAAAACAAAAAATTTTGGTTGCACTAGAGTGAAAGCCAAAAGCAAAAATGCCTTGTTATAATTATTTGTCATTTTAAGACCTTTTAAATTAAACTCTATATATACTGACTTTTTATTGACACTGAACAGCTTTGCCATGACATCACATGAGCATTATTACAAACCACAGGAATATTTATTACGCATGTGTGGTTCATTCTTAGATAAGTATGGGTTCATAAACGGGATATCTACAGATCGGAATATTGAGCTATTTTTAACTTTAATCGTGGCACACGCGATCCACTTTGGTTGACATAACAACAAATCTGTCTTTATATAACCTTATTTTCATTGGTTTATTTTAATTGATATTAAAGAGTTTCAGGGCGTCACAGTGGCGCAGTGGGTAGGACGATTGTCTCAGCAAGAAGGTCGCTGGTTCGAGCCTCAGCTAGCTCAGTTGGCATTTCTGTGTGGAGTTTGCATGTTTTCTGTGTTGGCGTGGGTTTCCTCCGGGTGCTCCATTTTCCCCCACACTCCAAAGACATGCGCTACAGGTGAATTGGCTAAGCTAAATTGGCCATAGTGTATGTGTGTGAATGAGAGTGTATGGGTGTTTTCCAGTGTCAGGTTGCAGCTGGAAGGGCATCCGCTGCGTAAAACATATACTGGCTCATTCCGCTGTGGTGACCCCTGATTAATAAAGGGACTGAGCCAAAAAGGAAATGAATGAATGAATAATGGTGCAGTGCTTTCCACATCTGGTGCTTCACTTCATGCAATGACATTGCAAGGAATAAAAGGCAGAGGCAAACAAGCTAAACGGTTGCCACAGTGGAATGAACAGTCCACTTATCCTGCATATGTTTTATGCAGCGGATGCCCTTCCAGCTGCAATCCATCACTGGGAAATGTCCATACACTCTCATTCAAACACATACACTACGGCCAATTTAGCCTATTCAGTTTACCTATAGCGCAGGTTGTGGGGGAAACCAAAGCACCCAGAGGAAACCTACGCTAACACGGGGAGAACATAACCTCCACAAATAAATGCCAACTGACCCATTATGTATTTGTGTGTGTGTATGTGTGTGTGTGTGTGTGTGTGTGTGTGTGTGTGTGTGTAACAATATTATTGTACAAAAACAAATAAACAAAATAAACTGTAATGCATATTTTTTTCAAAAGAAGTTGTTACTCTACCCCCTTAAGAACATCATTACAGAAGTTTGAATTTTTAAGGAGCTGTGACAGGTCAACTATGGTTTCAGGAAACACTTTTCTCTACATTATTACAAATGATCATTAGTTCAGCTGCAACTTGTGTGATTGCTTGTGATAAAGTTACTGTTCCTATCAGATTTCTGTATGATTTACACTGCAGAACCACAACATAAGTCTACATTTTAAATGTAATACAAGGGTTAAAGGGGTTTTGCCATAAAACACTTTGATCGTTTGGGATGGAAGAGCTTGAGGTACAGTACTGTGAAATCACACTGTAACTTTCAGAACTCAGAATCTACTTCATGGACCAAAAATAGCATTTGTTGAAATGTGACTGAAAAAACCTGTGCTACTGGCTGATTAGAAACATTAGACCCATAGAAGTCATGCAAAAGTAAGCTAATTGTAATGCCTACCAACCACAGTTTTGTTCAATTTATGTGCTGTAACTTACAGTATATGTAGGGTAAAAAATTTGCTAGTTGTACACAAAAGTAATGAATAGTCTCAGACAGTTCACATTACACTCTAAATACACATTAAATCATGCATAAAACAAACAAAATAGGAAAATATTTGTCATCAGATTGGTTGGCATGCGTACACTGCCTGTATTAGCTCTTACCAAGATAAACTTAACTCTACAATTTCAAAGAATGTGAAGCTTGAAGCTTAAAATAATTTATTACAAGCCAGTTAAAGTTGGAACATCAACAAAACATCTGTTGTTAGTTTCTTTATATGTTGTTACATTTATTTAATTTGTATTTATGATATGATATATGATTTAGAATTGATAACATGTAATTATCTAATAATTTGTTACCATAATAGATTATTCTACAATTATTGCACAATTTAAAAGAATAACTGGCTCAACCTTTCCATGAATATATTTATCTCTCTTTATCTCTCTCAAGCACAAATGTGTGTTTTGGAAGCAAACTTTTAAAATGCAATCTACCAATGTCCAACTTTGCAAGTGACATTTTGAAAAACAAGCCCAAAGTCGCTCTGAGTAAGCAGACATGGTAATACTTTTAAGGGCTTAGGATTTGGCGGAGAAAAGTGTTGTTTTTCACTTCACATGCCCGTTTTACTTCAAGAATCATGGAGAGGTTGAAATAGGCCTGAATAACTGAACCGTTTTTGTGAATGTGCCAGGATTATAATTGGACCTTAGAGAAAAATATTCATATTATGACCTTATTAGAAATGGAACCCTCTATGATTAAAGTTTTATTTATCAGTCAGATGCCAGAGATCTGTAGAAACATATAAATATACACCGTAGGACTGTTTTGTAGATGAGAGACACCACTGAACGCTCTATTTAAAAAGTCATATTTAATGCATGAATCCACAGTACAGTAAGCATTCATTTCTTTGACACGTTCTTCTGCGTAAACCAGACTAGATCCAAATCACAGAAGAAGATCACACTGTTGGGATCAGCAACGCACACAGATTTATAAAAATAATTAGGTCATCATCACTCTCAACCCACTAGTTTCAATGAACAAATCGCCTGGCACATTGCTAGCTTGTTTATTTATTTGTTTGTTGGCTGCGTTATTTGTTTTCTCAGTTTGAATAAAACGAAACAAATAATTTTCTGCGTAATATTTTAGTGCTGGACAAATTCTTCCAAGCAGTTGCGATTGGGTTGATGTCTCATGTAAGCGCTGATGTGTAAACGGGGAGATGAAGATGATACAAACAGTCTCTGTGGATTAAAGCAGAAAGTGTTGTGAAGACAGTCCTGCTAAGAGCGCTTTTCCTCCATGCAAAACACGTCAGTCAGCTTAAACACCAGAGACGTGGGCTGGATTTAGACTCAAGGATGGTTCCGAACAAAAAATACATAGAAGGGGAAAAAAGCTAATTATCAGTTATAATTGACCTCCGTGTTTTGGACCTTTTTTATGCAACACAGGCTCACTGTGAATTCGTAGCCCTGTAAACATTTCTGGAGAGCACAAATTATGTAGCCAGAGCTACGTTTGGCTGCAATTCATCTTTAAAATGAATGCTATGGGGTGGTATGACGCTGCCCACGGCTACTGTTTCTTTTCTTGCTACCAGCTGAACGCTTACCACCGTGAGGACGGCTTTTCCCTTGTTACTAGTTTGCACAGTAGCTCGCCTTGTATGTCAGCAGACTTGAGGTGCAGAGAGAAGATGACCACGATGGGGGTTCGAGTCCAGCAAAGTACGGTTCCAGAGAGCAGGTAAAACAAAAACAAAAGGCAAGAATAAAATGGGAAATGCTGGGAACTCTGGAGATGGCACCAGTCGTGCGGGGAACTCTGAAGACATCACCAGCCTTGTGGGAAACTCTGGAGACGGTACCGACCATGCGGGAAACTCAAGAAATAGCACCGGCCGTGCGGGGATCTCTGGAGACGGCACCGGCCGTGTGGGGAACTCTGGAGACGGCACTAGCCGTGCAGGGAACTCTGGAGTCGGCATCGAACGTGCGGTGAACTATGGAGACGCCACTGGTCATACAAGGAACTCTGGAGACAGCACTGGCAGTGCGGGGAACTCTGGAGAC